CGTAAAGGAACGAAAAATCCGACTTGAAAATTTTGAAGGTCAGCCGCGCCAACACACTCCTTTTTTCAAGTTTGATCATTTAGTACGAACGGATAGAAGGATGGCCTTCTAGTACCCCATGACGACATCAAAACATTTGTGTAAACAATGGATTCTTATTGGTTCGTTGATCTCCTAACTATGGGGGAAGTTTGGGGACAAAATTCTAGTTAGTAGGGGCGGTTACAGGCGGTTCAGGTGTCAATGTGTTATGTAACATAATATATTTATGCGATTGATATATTTGTCTCGTTCATCGCAGAGCTTGGTTGCATTATATCTTTAGTTGTGAGTAATTTCTAGTGTCATTGTTTTAGGGCGCGGTTAAATACGGTATTCTAAGTAATGACAGGCGCAGTAAGCTACATGCAGTCACCAACTGCCTATTTTTATCAAAGTTAGTTTGGGTCTGATATGAGTCTGATCCTAGAGAACCAAATTTCACAGATGTGGTCTGAGTCAATTAATTTGGAAATGTAAGAGAGGAAAAACCATTACCCACGTGAAGTCATTGTAATGTCTTAAGTTTTAAAATAAAGTTATTATCATATTTTAATTATTATTATTAATATTATTTTAATTAAGTGGGATCGATGTCAGTATCTAAACAACTGTGCACACCTACCCCTCCCCTAAACCAACAATGACCCTTATTGCTATCAGTTGACTGTTGTTGGGTTGTAGAGGGGTATCTGCTGTCATCAACTATAGTATGTATTTCCATAAGCAAGTGGAAGATGGTAGTTAAAATATTTATGACAACATCAATAACAAGTGAAAAAGGGATCACAGAAGTTGAAATTGTTTTCATGTTTTTGTGAATTTGATATTTTAAACTTCAATCTCTTCTTCCTCACTCCACTCAAGGCAATCTTGTGCAAATTCACACACAGCGAGTGTGATTTGTTAATCTACTCAATCACTTTTACAGACCTTACACAAAAGAAGCATAAGAGTCGCGGGAGGCAACAGCAGAGAGTGACTCTAGCTTTGAGTGCTTAGCAAGCCTCTCAAGTGAGTGCAACCATATCTTAATAGTTTACATTGTGGCATTTACCATTTGTTTTATAACACAACATTAATCCATTGTAGCAAAAGAGTTTTCCTTTATTTAACAAATCTTCTGTGACCAGAAAAAACAGCCGCGCGCGGAAAACTAGTCTTTGCATTTGCTTGCATCAGTAGTGTACACCATGGGCAAATGGTGGACGCTGAATTGACCAACCAGAGTGCACTTTACTTTGCATTAACTGAGAAATGATGTGAATATACTTTCAAATGTTTTTGTACATTGTTGAGATCATGGATTTGAGATTTGTTTCGCCTTTTATCTCAAATTTGACACCTGTTTTGTTTCTCATTAAAGGTGACCATCCTCAGTATTGCACTGTACATCCTGCCCTACATAATCAGAACTATAACTGGGTCAGTGCATTCAGAGAACATGGTGCAGTTTTTCAAGGTTAACTGGCACAATGGTCTTTAGGGTGTACAATTAAAATTGTTTGAATTACCAATTTGTTCCATACACTTGAGACTTTCTACCTATCAAGTATTTTTTTAACCCTATTTCCAGCTACCACAAAATGTACCATGAACTGATGAAATGAGGCACATGTTTAAGACCAGTACAGGCCTAAATTATGTAAGATTGTATGGCCCATCCAATCTCTTATGCAAACACATTGTCCTATCTTTGTTATTGCAGTTTTCAGAACAGACATGAAGAAGTTTTTTACATATTTAAAACCAAGGTGTTGGTCTCTAGTCTTTTTTTCTAGACTAAGTAAAGGATATTACACCACACACATTAGTTCCAAATAAGAAGGATTAATGGCAACCTTGTTCCTAGGGTCTCTCATCTGTTCCTGCTCCCTGGAGCTCCAAGCGGTAGGAAGATGAGAGACTGGGATCAAGGTTGGATTAATGGTCAGATTTACAGTCATCATTTCAAAAGAGCTCAGACTCGGAGCATTTTATTCTTGAGCAATGGTAGGAAACAAGACAAAATGTTACCTCTAGATGGCAAATCATTCCTCTCCACGAGCACCCCTCATCTTGAAAGGTACAACCAACCTCCTGACGAAGAACTTCACGCTCCATATATCTGTCCCGGAAACTTTCTTTCTGTTAATAAAAAAGTCATTGTAAGGCTTTTTGCCTGTGTAGAGATTACTTTTAGATTTGTTTCGCTCAATAAAAAAAATCATCTTGGAAGCTGAAAAGGATTCTACAGATTCACCTTTAATCCTACATAAGATGAAATAAGCTATCAGTTCTCACACACAAAAGGAAGCCATATTGTTTAGCCCAACCATGCAGCCTAGCTGACCTAATTAAATTATAAAGTATCCAAATATTACTGCTGAACAACCAACAGGAAAAATGCTCCCTAGATTATGCGCCATTACAAACTTGAAAAAAGTAACACCACAAGCAAAGGCATGACACAACAGTGAAAGAGAGAACCACATGACATTGATGCAGAATCACAAATGTGTGTGTGTAAAATATTTTCTGCTTCTTTCATCCTTAGCCAGTGGGAAAAAAAACACGGTGGGGGACACTGAGAGCCCTTCCTTATCCAAACAACTCTGCATGAAAAACAGAAACTCCTGGTGTAACTTGCACAGAGAAGGCATTACTCTCAGTGTAACTTATGTAATGAAAGCATCCAATGTTTAGACCTATTGCAATACTCTGTAATTGAAATGTTACATAGTATGGCAATCATAAAGTCATGATAATTATCATAACTTAACCCTCGGACAGAGAAAAATTTGAGGTTCAATTGCACTTTAATTAGCTCACATCACCAATGTTTACCAGCTTGGAACACAAAAATATGTCAATGAAGCAGCTTACTTTGATTCTGAAATAATTTTCTTTTAAGCTGACTGTTTGAAAAAGGCCAATACACCTGTGACTGCTGTTTATAGTTGTGTTCAAATGGGAAATTAGGTTAAGGTGTCAATATTATTCCAGGTTTAGTGGAACAACCTAATATAAGGCAGAAAAGATGACATTTGACTCTGTGACAATGCACTGGTCAATAGTTTTGGGTAATACAGACTTAAGTACCACCACAATTCAATGATGGGCAAGACTACCTGAGCTGGGCCCTACTGTTTTGTTTATAAATGCTTGGGTTACTGATGACTTCAGTTACAGTCTCTCTGCAATGCTGATATGTAACTCTGCATGCATGTTTGAAAATTAAAGGTAAACTATCACAAGTTTATAAAATTTATTACTTGTACAAAATTCTGATTGATACCTCTCGAATGACTGTTCCATCTTCTACACACAGCACATCTGTCGTAGATCTGAATAGAGTAAAAACAAACTATTTAAGGGAAAAAAAGGTAAAAAAAAAAAAAAGACAAGAAACCAACATTTCAATATCACTGAATAATTATCCTACTAACAGGTCTAGGTTCTCTATGTTGATTGCATTCAGGTAGTCATAAGCTTAAAGCCTTGTTGTAGGCCTGTACCTTAATTCAAGTTCAAAAACAATTTTAAAGGTAGGTTCAAGGCTTTCAGAGATCTTCAGCTCTACAAAGATTATAATATGATGAACTTCTTGCATTTAACAATTCTCCAAGAGGAATACATGTAACTTGGTCAGCTACTCATACTCAGACATGACAAGGCTACTTGAATAATCAAGCTTTCGAATTATACACCCATGGAGTGTTTAATGAGCAAAAACTCTCTTTAGTGAGTTTGTTAAATAAATTAAATTTAAAAAGCTGATTTTTTTTTAGATGTCGGCTATTCCACCTCTAGACTAGTGTCAAACGCAATAAGAATAATAATGCTGCATTTTTTGGATGGTACATTTGAGTGCATGATCCAAAGAGGGATGACAAAAAAAATTATCATCTGAAATAATACATAATAATAATAATAATAATAATAATAANTATAATCATTGAAAATACTAGAAAGTTCAAACCTATAGACCAATCGTTCAAAAAGTCTCATGATAATAGCAGTTATAGAAATTGGCCGAAGCTGGGTGCAGCAAGTCAATGGAGACTCCTTAGGTATAGGCTTGATGTCTGCCATCTTCCAAGAGGATGGTACTTTATGTTGTTGCAGCGAGCTGTTAAACACATCGGTGACAACAGGGGCAAGATCATGGGCAAATTCTCTAAGTAACAGTATGGGAGCTCATCCGGGCCACAAGCACATTTACACTCGAAATTCGATTGAGACCCTACTGGTTCTTCGTTTCACGAAAGTTTGTAAATTTTCAGTTTATAAAAAATCAAAAATCGCAGGTCTAAAACACATATTAAGATTACTCACTCAAAACAACACGAGTGGCAATACACATGTCCACAAGAAGTCTGAACTGGATCTCTAAACACAAATCCACACAGTCTACACTGGAACTTGTCGTCAAGCCCGTCTAGGTCTGAATGACTTACGCGAAAACCGGGCATTTCACTTTGATTTTCTTTCCAGCGGCAGCCTTATGACCTTAATCTTGCTTGCTCAATCGAACGAAGAAGGCGCCACGCGTGGATTTAACCCATGCTTATACGAAAAGAACCTAAGAGTACCTCCCTCCAAAACCGCCGTAGATCGGAATGACTGCTGTGGGCTCGTCGGGATTAAATTGCCTCTAAAGTTGAAAGTGAAAGAGGTCACAGAGGGAGTTTCGCTATCCCACAAATCTTAGTGGTTGGACACGCGATTTCTTATAGGCGGATTCATGTTGACGTATTACATCGGCGTATTTTGGGCCCACGAGTGCACATTTTTATGTGCAACATATGTCACCTAAAAAAACTCCGGTCCGGGTAGTGTGCGCACTGGGATCGCGCTGATTCATGGGGGAAATTTGAAATCTAAGTCATTAGAGACATTTAGCACCATTTTTTCTCTGTGTCTCAATTTACATGTAGATGCCGTCGGGTACACGTCTCTTCGAGGCTAGCTGATTGAATGCCTAATGGCAGTCAACTGTCTCTGGCCTTTTCTGGAAAAATTCAGCGGAAAAGTCAATTTGCGTGAATTTTCTCGCCAAACTGCGGCTATCGATGCTTCTTGTTGGATACATAGGGCTTTGTATTTGTCCATAAGTCAAAGTGGAAATCGAGAGAGGTGAGAAATTTTAGTGATGATACTCTTACTTCGTTTAGAAAGGTGTTTTTTCGATTATAGAAGTCAAGTATGTTTTGTTTTCAATTGAAGATTTGATAGTATATTTCAAAGCTATCTACAGACGGTGACGAACGCCGGCGTAAGGCCGTTAGTTGTCTTTGATGGGCTGCCTTTACCAGCCAAGGCAGCCGAAGAGGAAAGAAGGAAAAGGTGATAATACATCTACGTTGGAAAAAGTAATTTGCATTTCTATCAACTTTACTCTTAACTTAAAAAAAATTCTTGTGATCTAAACAGAGAAAGAGAGGACCGTCGAAACAAAGCCGAGGAGGACAATTTAACAAGCGAAGTAAGCTAACAGACATCGCGGACAAGCCGTTTCAGTAACATTTGACGATATCTGTACATGTATCAACGTGAGTGCTTGTTTACTGGAAAAAATTTTCAGTACCAGGCTTTCGTATAATGCGAAAGCTTTTTATGGAAGCTATTGTAGAATACAAGAAATTGTATGATAAAGCTAACGTATTTACTTCCATATAAATCTTAAGATAATTAACACAAATTTAATACCGCAAATATATTGAAATGAAATGTTTAAAAACCTTATCACCTTTCTCTCCTAGATTTGTTTGTCCGTGGGTATAATTTACGTTGTTTCCCCGTACGAGTCAGATGCCCAAATAGCTTTCCTGCTTGGCAGTGACTGTGCGGATTTTGCAATTACTGAAGATTCAGACCTCTTGGCATACAGCTGCAAAAAGGTTTGTGCACTTAATATCCTGCCCCTTTTCAGATCTAAGGTTTTCTTTTTGCTTTTCCCCTCAAAGGCTTTCGTAAGTTGTTGGCTTTTTCTGAAAATTAGTTTTGTTTTGCTTTTTTCTTTCCAGATTTCATGTATTATTTCTTCAATGTTTTTTTCTTCCAACACTGGCCCGAAAGAATTCCAAGTTGATTACTTTCCCCAAAGAATTCCCCAAATTTAATAGCTTCCATCTGTTTTGTTGATGGGAAAGTCAAATAAAATTGCCTTTGGTTGGGAATCTACCATATTGTCAAGGGCACCCAACGACAATTTTCGGAAAATATCTGTTCGGAAGACGATTTGAGATCTAGAACTTTCGGAAAATTTTTTGTAAAATTTCTTGCTTGCCTTCCTCTCCCAGAATTTTCGAACATCTGAAAATGGTATAATTGCCCATTTTTAACGGATTTTTAGACTAGAAAGCTCACCTAGAATTCTCGGGAGCCTTCTTTCTGGCTGGAATTTTCGAAAAGGTAAGTTCATTTGCACTTCTCATTGTGGCATAAGAGTACATGACAAGAACTACACAGTGCTTTGGGAACTTCAACCCACAAAAACAAGCCAGACATCAGTCCCTAATCACAAGTCAAAGAACACACATGTACATAGGTCTGATGATGGCTTGAACACAGATGGGAGAGATGATTTAGGGGAACTTGGTGCTACCTGTTTGCCCTTTAAGGTCCCAGGAACATGTTATTCACAGTCTTGACAGGAAGTTCTTGAAAAGGCATTTGAACACCTGTATAACCACAACAGACCTGTGTTTGCAAAACTGCAGGCTGAGCCAGACAATCCATTGGACGAACATGCTATTGCTGTTTATGTGATTTCATCGGCCGATTATGAAAAAGTAGGATACATAGCAACCGAAATGACTCAGTTTGTGCATCCTGTACTCAAAGATCCATCTTTTCAGGTGTCAGTGAAAAGAATGGTTTTTTACTGTTTTCCTTATGATTGGGTTTTACGTTACCATCAATATCACAAAATCAGGCCCCTGGGACAAGACAGTTGTAGCAGCATGCTCTAAAGTAAAGTGAAATTATGGCTTGACTTTATCACATAATTAAAATAATGTTATAAACAACTCAATATTTGAAGAGTACAGGAATTTCCCGAAAGTTATTTTTTTCAAAGTCAGCATGAATAGAGATAAACATGTGGGCATGTGTGGTCCACATGCAGTAAAGGATTGATTAAGCCGGGCTTATTCCAGTAGTGGTGCTTACTCGGTCATTCATAGTACCCGGTTATATTGGAAACCTACATGTACGTGTGTACAGAAAATGAAGAAGTACAATGTATGTAATTTATGACACTTAATAAAAAATATTTTATAACACTTACATGTTATACTCAATTCAAGCCAGGGTAAAACAGCATATTTATATGCACAATTAAGAAAATTCAAATATAAAAACTTACCAAAATATGAAATAATAAAACTAAGCACAACAAGCACTGACCAGATGCCCACCAGCAATTAAGTGGCCCCAGAAAATATGGGCGTGTAACGTAAACACAAAGTTGTGAGACATATTGAAATACAACCGGTCCCAGTTGTTCAAAGGCTGATTAGAGCATACCCTGTGGTTAATTTAAACTCGGCTTTCCTTTATTTGTCTTAAAAAGATATTCTCATTTATTTTACATGATTATTTGTAGAGCATCCAATCATCAACTTGTAGACAAAAGGAGTTAAACCTGGCATGCTTTTTAAGCTTTCAATTCTGAATGCAAATCTTGCCCGTCTTTGAACAACTGAGACCGACTGTGATAACTATTGTCCTTCCAGCTGAGGTGGAGGCAACTCTACAGGGATCTATGAAAACGGGCTCTGATAGTAAATTGTCCCCTATGGGGTAAGGAAGCTCTGTTAGCAACAAAGACTCCTGGATCTCCCCTTCTTGACAAACAGATTCGATCAGGTCTCTCTGCGATCCCTTCTCCCGATGGTTCATTAAAGGAAGGAAGTTCAAAGTCTCTGTACCGTTCATTAGCCCCTGTCCAGTAAAAAAATTCCATATCTGGGTCTATTCGTTTCTTGAATTCACTCAGAATTTTTGGCTGTGCATCCAGAAATTGCTTGACGTCAAAAATGTCATGTTTTAGGGCTATGATTCCTTCAAAGTCATCAGTTGCTGATGCTCTCGGGTGTTCAGGGGGTAGCCCTCTCTTCTGGTATTCCACACGTCGTAACTCTCTACTCTCCAAGTTTGCCACCAGGCCTACAACAGTTTCTTGAGTAAAGCCACAGATCCCCTTTATAGGCCTTGACATGATAAACCATATATAAGAAAAGATTTCATACAACTGAAAAAATTAATGCCAGTAAGCAAAACAAACAGAAACTCTACTCTGGGGTCAGTTGATAAAGCAAATGTGATATTCGGCAAAGCAGTTAATGGGTAAATGATAAAGAAGCCATTCATAAAAATGCCTCACAAAATGCGGGAAAGTTTACTTATAAGGATCCCACAATTCAAAGTTTCCCAGTTGAGGTCAAAAGATTCTTAACAAATGGGGCCATACCCCTTTCCACACCCACGCCAAAACAAATCACATACATGTAATGAATGGCTTCAGTATTTTTTTTTCTTCTCTAAATTTTCTGGGAACCCAGACATCCTTATTTCTTCAAGGATCATCAATGGTTCCTCTACAAAAGATAAGAAATCAAGAGCCCACCTGTTCACATCAATAGTGCTAAAGTCAGGTTGAGAACTGTACTGTGGCATCCAATCTGATAGCAACCACTCTTTCATGTCTCTACAGTGAGTCCAGCGCTGTTCTTCGGAAAGTCCTCTCCCATCAACGGCTTTGTGCCAGTTGTGGATCCGTCTGATAATGCTGGCTCCACCTATGTGACCTTTTCGTTCAAGGAATGAAATGACTCCAAGACCATTGAGCCGCTCACAGTCAGGCACTGACTGCTTGTTCTTCTCAGTAAGAGCCTCATATGTCAAACCAGTAGCAGGGTCATGCAGAGCATCTCTAAGGTATCTTAAATCAATGTCCGGAATAAAGCCTTCACGAAGACGAGACACTATGTGTTTGAGAAGGTGGTTATGGTCTTCACGGTGGTGGATTCATTCACCATTAGCACCTTTCTCTGGTTGGTACAGGTAGTCCGAAAAGTGTTTGGGATCACTAAGGTGATGTTTGAGATCTTCAATTTTTCTTCTGTACAAGTAAATGGCCATTATTGATTTCATCACATCTTCTGATTCTTCTGGCTTGTCTGTAAAATAGAGGTATTTTCAATTGGTTTCCTACTCAATCTTGAATATCAAGGGTGATGTTTTGTTATCTGTTCAACCAAATTTATTTTACCTTTTCAGGAAAGGTGCTATATTGAACTCTAACCACAGAAC